AGCCAATGAGACAGAGGCTGTGACGGGGGGCTCCCAGCGCCTCTGCCAACGCCAACAGATTCATAATATATGCAGTGAGACACTGGCCTGTTGCTGCTCATCACATTTGGAAGGGCGCGGCAGCTCAGAGATTCAGCGCAGTGCGTCCAGCAAGAACGTCGTGTCGCTACCGCCGTGACGCTACAACAATGCGCCTTTTTGCGTTGTTCGATGGCCAATCGTTATAACCGTTTCGGCATCAGTTTGAACAAGCGTCATTCAGAGGACCCCTTCGGTCTGGCTGAAAATCACTCTAATGATAGATCTGACCTGCTGAGTACGATAAGCACAAAATGTAATCTCGGCAAGCCTTACTTACGGATATATGACGGGTCAAAGTTCAAGGTCATTGGTGGCGGACCTTTTCAAATTCCTTAAAAAAATTAATGCAGATAGGCATTGACCTCCTCAGTCTCTTGTCCATAAACTTAGCTCGGCAAGCCCTCACTTCGGAGATAGGCAGGTCAAATGTTGCAGCCACGTGGCGGTCACGTGACCCACTCGCAGCGGACCCCTCAGTTTAATGAAATTCTGTGAGTTGATACATCTAGATGCACTGGTCATTATGCTTAACACGCGCAGTGGGAGGGTTTCGAGTACTACGCCCAGTGGAAGGGGGGGCGGATGTCGCCCCCCCCCCCCTAAGATAGCTCCCACTGGGGCAGAAAGACGAAATTTGGAGGGTAGGTGTGGGCCCTGGGGAGCTCTGTTGCGTATGAATTTCATGACCCTAGGTCAATATCTTCAAGGTCAAATGAGGTCAAAGTAGTCAAATTTTGCCATATGAGCGACTTTTTGCGTTTACACGCCGATAACTCAAAAGTTACCGGCCGATTTTCTTTTTTCTTTCACTTTACGAAAGGACATATGTTTGTGAGAATGTATGGTGAATTTTTAATTAATTCAACAACAAATATGGCAGTTAGAAGCCTGCTAGGGGTAAGATGTCGCCGACTGAAGCCGGATCGGCCGACGCGGGAAACGCGGCAATCACAATTTTGTGTTTACACACTCATAGCTCAAGTTATCGGGCGATTTTCAAAATTCTTTGATCATATGATTGCCTGTACATTTCTCAGCCTTCTCACAAAATCTGACACGAATCGAATATAATCAGTGGTAAAGAGCGCGATGTACCTAAAGACGGAACCGTCCCGCCCCGGCTCAGTCTTCCCTGTCCGCCCCTTCAGGCGGCGCGTAACGGCTAGCGCCGGCCGCCGCGCGCCGCGCCGCCGCGCCGCACTGCCGCGGCGGCGAGATGTTTGACTTTACACCGCTATTACTAGAAAAGTTGTGAACTGATTTTCTTATTTCTTGCACGAGAAGATCTGCAATTCAGTTCTGGACAGGTAGCCAAAATCAGGGGCGCGGGAACTACTCTCCGACTGGGGGGGCACACCATAATAGAGATTAACCTAGGGTACCCCCAAATCTAGTTTTCTCACCGGTTTTAGGCCACTTATTTTTCACCCCTCGGCTTTTTCAACAAAAAAGAAAACATTTGCAAAACAAGTGTGGTATTCCGTCTCAAAGCTGTGGGGGCACCGCCCCCACGGCCCCAGAGTTGGGGGGGGCAAGCTGCCCCCACTGCCCCCCCGGCTCCCGCGCCTATGGCCAAAATTTCAAATTAATACTATGTTTGCAGCGCGAGTTATTGGCGAAAAACAGGAGGGGTGGGCGAAATCCGCCCCCTTCCAGTTTCCACTGCGCTTCTTAATTATCTAAGCTCGGTAAACCCTGTGGGCTGTGATATTAGGGGGTCAAAGTTCAAGGTCATTCAGAGCGAACCCCTTCGAATTGCCTCAAATTTTGCACACAGGTACAAATTTATATGCTGATCATGATGAGCATGAAATCTAAGCTCGGCAAGCCTTGGAAGCTGAGATACAAAGGGTCAAAGGTCAAGGTCATCCAGGGCGGACCACTTAGAATTTCCTCAAAGTTTTCAAGCGGATACAAGTTAAGATGCTGATCAAGATAAGCATAAAATATAAGCTCGGCAAGCCCTGGGAGCTGATAAATCAGGGGGCAAAAGTCAAGGTCTCATAAAGGGAAACTATCACCTATTTCATTTTTATAAGATTGCACAATTCGAATTTTAGAAGTCGTTCTGTGCAGGTTTCAGACTTACCGGATTCTTCAAACACGATCTTTCGATAAATGATTCCAGAGTCGCTTGCGAGTCTAAAATAGTACCGTAACGTGGGGCTATTTGAAACGGATTTTGCAGTTTTTGGCCTCTCCCTTTGAGACGCTTCATATTTCTTATAGCATGTAAATTGCAAAAATGTAGTCCTCTGTGAGCTCTTTCAGATTGGTGCATTTTGGTTCAGCTAGTAATAATGATTAAGGTTATTTTTTATGTTAAAGCATGTCTCAAATAGCCCCGTAGGGTGGGGCTATTTGAGATAGCCCTGTGGTATCGCGAATTGTCCCCCTCCGCCCGGGAGCTGGCGACGCCACTGGCGGCGCCGGCACGCAGACGCGGCGGCTCGAGAGAGTCGGTCTGGCGCGCGTGTCGGGTGCGGTCGTGCGTCGTGTGCGCCGTGTGCGGTGGTCGTCGCGTCGCGGTCAGCACAGACTAGTGTTCGTGTATGAGCCCAGATTGCCTCAGCAATAAACTTGTCTCCACGAGCCAGCCTGTGTGAGGCAGTGCGGAGTGGAGACGTAATACCTGGCGACAAGGATTTCGAACTCGCTGAGGAGGCCGTGGGCGACTCCGATCCGAACGCTGTACTGTGCAGTTGTGGACCGCGTGTGGACTGCGACGGAGCCGCGGAGACTGGTAAGCGGCAGTAAACTGCGTGTCCTGCGACTGACGGGGGCGTGGGCTTGTGTTGAGTCCCCCCTGTGTTCAGCGCTGTCCGAGTGTTTGGGCCTCGGCGGCCATTTTCGGACGGGTGCGCTGGTCGAGTGCGCAGGCGCGTGGTCACGTGTCTCGGTGACGTCGCGGTCACGTGACTCCCCCGGAGTGGAAAGCGCGGGAAACGCAGCGGCGGTGCCAGGGACGGGCGGCAGGGAGCCCGAGTCACTGCTGAGTGACCTTGGCCGGCGCCAGCCAGGGGCGGATCCAAGGGGGGGTCACATGGGTCATGGCCCCCCCCCCTTGAGGCCCGGGGGCCCAAAGACCTGCCAGGGGCACCACCGGCCTATCAGGGGTATCACAGTCCTGACAGGGGCACCACAGGACCGCCAGGGGCACCACAGGCATAGCAGGGACACCACGGGCCTGGTGCCCCTGGGCCCTGACAGGACTGTAACGCCCTTGACAAGCCTGAAGTGTCCCCGGTAGGCACGTGGTGCCCCTGACAGGCCTGAGGCGCCCCTGCAAGGGCGGTGGTGCCCCTGGCAGGCCTGTGGTGTCCATGGCAGGCCTGTGGTGCCCTTGCTAGGCCTCTGGTGCCCCTGACAGGCTTGTAATGCCCCTGGAAGGACTGTGGTGCCCCTGGGCCCTGACAAGCCTGAGGTGCCCCTGACAGGCCAGTGGTGCCCTTGCTAGGCCTGTGGTGCCCCTGGCAGGCCTCTGGTGCCCCTGACAGGCTTGCGGTGCCCTTGGAAGGACTGTGGTGTCCCTGGGCCCTGACAAGCCTGAGGTGCCCCTGACAGGCCCGCGGTGCCCTTGTTAGGCCTGTGGTGCCCCTGGCAGGCCTCTGGTGCCCTTGCTAGGCCGCTGGTGCCCCTGGCAGGCCTCTGGTGCCCTTGCTAGGCCGCTGGTACCCCTGCGCCCGGAGAGGACTGGTGCCCCTGAAAAGTCTGAAGTGCCCCTCGGCAGGCCCGTGGTGCCCCTGACAGGCCCAAGGTGCCCCTGCGAGGCCGGTGGTGCCCCTGGCAGACCTCTGGTGCCCCTGGCAGGTCTGTGGTGCCCCTGGCAGGTCTGTGGCGCCACTGGCAGACCTGTGTTGACTGGTGCCCCTGCTAGGTCGCTGGTGCCCCTCACAGACCTGTGGTGCCCCTGGGCCTTGACAAGCCTGAGATGCCTGGCTATGACAGGCTCGTGGTGCCCCTGATAGACCAGTGGTGCCCTTACTAGGCCTGTAGTGCCCCTGGCAGGCCTCTGGTGCCCCTGCTACCCCTGCGCCCGGAGAGGACTATGGTGCCCCTGAAAAGCCTGAAGTGCCTCTCGACAGGCCCGTGGTGCCCCTGGCCCCTGACAGGCCCAAGTTACCCCTGCGAGGTCGGTGGTGCTCCTGGCAGACCTCTGGTACCCCTTGCAGGTCTGTGGTGCCCCTGGCAGGCCTGTGTTGACTGGTGCCCCTGCTAGGCCGCTGGTGCCCCTCACAGGCCTGCGGTGCCCCTGGAAGGACTGTGGTGCCCCTGCCCCTAGGGGTGCTCATGGGCCCAACAGGTCCGTTGTGCCCCTGACAGGCCTGTCGTGTATACTTGCTAGACCTGTGGTGCCCCTACTTCCTGGCAGGCCTGTGGTGCCCCTGGCGGGCCTGTGGCGCCCCTACAAGGCCGTAGGTGCCCCTGAAAGGTTTGTGGTGTCCCTGGAAGGACTTTGGTGCCCCTGACAAGCCTGAAGTGTCAAGGACAGACCCTTTAGACGCCAGGGTCAAGTTCGTCGGACTGACAACGATTTGCTTACCTGATAACGTTCCTGGTAAGTACTCACTACTCAGCGTCCACAACATATATACACATAGCATCTATGCACATAGCACATTCATATATACTTGCTTACAATTGGTAAATGTGGTTGTGGCTAAGAGTTAAGATACTGACTAAAAATAAAAAAAGAAAAAGAAAAAACTGAAAATGGGGGCACCACCAAAATGAAGTGGACGAAATCCGTTGAGTTTTTAATTTTGGGTATAGGTAGGGGCACCACTTCGATTCATGACCCTCCCCTTGGAGTTTTCCTGGATCCGCCCCTGGCGCCAGCTGACGGTTCAGTCGCGCGGCGGCGGCCGCGGCGTGAGGAGGCTTGAGGGGACCACGAGTGGACGTCAACGGCGGACGGGATGGCGGCGGCTGGACTGAGTCTGCCGGCGGTGGGGCCGTACCAGCCGGGGACGGATTTTCCTCGATGGCTCAACAGCGTGGATCTGTACATGGCGGCCCTGGACGTCACTGGGGACGAGAGGAAGACGGCGATTCTGTTGCACCTGCTCGGACCCGAAGTGCAGGAGGTGTACGGCACGCTCCCGGAGCCGACAACTGGAGTGACCGGCTGCTATGCGACGTGTGTAGCTAAACTCCGAAGCTACCTGGCGCCGCAGCGCAACGTCATCGCTGATCGACTCGCGTTTCAGCGGTTGCGCATGGTGGAAGGCGAGCTGTTTGACGCGTTCCTGTCCCGTCTGCGCCTCGCGGCAGCTCGGTGCCAGTTCCCGCCCGAGCAGGTCAGCGCGGCCCTGCGGGACCAGGTCATCGCGGGCTGCACGCCTCGCCTGCAAGAGCGAGTGCTGCAGCGGGCCGTGGAGGCGCAGGAGCCGCTCAGCCTCCAAGACGTCGTCAACATAGTCCACAATGTGGAGCGGACCGACCGCCTGCTCCGTGAGGTGCGGCAGGACGGCCAGCTGGCCGTACCTCAGGAGGAGCAGCAGGTGCAGGCGCTCGGACAACCCAGCCGAGGGGAGCAGCGCTGTTTCCAGTGTGGCGAGCTGGGCCACTGGAGGGACCACTGTCCCAGCGCGCAGTCGCAGCAGGCCGGCGCGCGGCCCCGGCAGGCCGGTGCGCGGCCACGGCAGGCTGGTGCGCGGCCACGGCGGGCCGGCGCGCCGCGCTGCTACCGGTGTGGAGAGCGCGGACACCTGCAACGGGACTGCAGCAAACGACGGGCTGTCAAGTTGATCCAGGACAGCGACCAGGCCGACTGGCAGGTCTGCGCCGTGCATCTGGCGGCAGGAGCGGCGCAGAAGAGCGGATTCTTCCGACAGCCCGGCTCAGCAAACGGCGGTCGGCTGGACAGCCGACGCGGCGGACCGCGCCGGAGGGGCGGAACGCGCCGGTGCTTCAGGCGCGGCGACTCAGGACACTTGAAGCGTGACTGCCCCGGATGCGGTCAGGTGACGTCTGTGGACGCCGTGACGTCCGTGGCGCAGCGGAGGACACAGCGTCAGGACCGGCTGCCACTGGTCACGGTGACGGTCAACGGCCGGCCAACAGAGATGATGGCAGACACCGGGTCGCCAGTCTCGATCGTGGCGGACGGCAGCATCCCGGGGCTGAAGCTGCGACCATCAACGGTGCAGCTGCGCTCGTTTACGGGCCAGACGGTGCCGGTCCGCGGCGAGGCGACCGTAGAGGCGGAGTTCGGCGGCCAGCGGAGGCGGCTGAGTGTCGTAGTCAGCGACCGACTCGGACACCAACCGCTGATAGGACGGGACTGGTTGCGCGACATGCGCCTCGACTGGCGGTCGCTGCTTCAGGGCAGCGAGGACCGTGAAGTGAGCGGCGCCGACGGAGTCAGAGGGCGCCGTGACACTAAAGGAGCCGGTGGGCGCCGGGATGCTGATGCTGCAGGAGCCGGCGGGCGCCAGGACGCCGATGGAGCCGGCGGACGCCGGGATGCCGATGGAGCCGGTGGGCGCCGGGGCGCCGGCGGAGGGAGCGGACACGGGTACGTCGGCGGAGGCGGCGGTGCCGGGCGGCCCGTCGGAGACGCTCGTGCCAGAAGCTTCGGTGGCGGAGACGGGATCGGCAGTGTCAGAGCGGCGACCGTCGGCGACGTCCGACGAGCAGGGTTCAGCGACGGGTACACCGGCGGCGACGCCAAACGGCCCGTCGGCGATGATCGCGCTGATGGCCGCGGTGACGGCGGCCGCGCCGGCAGTGCCAGTGACCCCATCGGAGGGTGCATCAGTGGCGTTGACCTCAGTGGAGGTCGTGTCGGTGCCGGTGACAGCGGAGGTGACCTCAGTGGTGCACTCGGTGACGGCGGCGGCGGCGGCGACGTCAGCCACGCCGATAACCTCGGTGACGGTCAGGCCGGTGACCCCAGCGGGGGCGACGGTCAGGCGAGTGACCTGGGAGGAGCCGGCTGCGCCGGTGGCCTCAGTGGTGCCGTGGGTGACCGCGGTGGCGGCGGCGCTAGCGACGCCGGTGACCCCGGCGGCGGCGGCGGCGGCTGCGCCGGTGAGGTCAGTGCAGTGGGGCCTCTTGAACGTGAGCGCGGCGCGCACACTGGGCGCTCCGCAGTGCCGTTCCGCCCGGCGTCGGAGGGCCCGAGGCGGCTTATCGGCGTCTGATCGCCGATATTTGAAATGTGATTGGATCTGTGATTGTGATTGTGATTGTGATTGAAAGGTGATTGTTTCACGTAAAGGGGTGAGGTAACCCTGAAGGCGCGCGCCTAAACAATGATGCTTTGTGCTCATGCCATTGTTTCGTGCGCCTGGGAATATGTTCGTTTAAAGGGCGGCAGGGTGTGGTATCGCGAATTGTCCCCCTCCGCCCGGGAGCTGGCGACGCCACTGGCGGCGCCGGCACGCAGACGCGGCGGCTCGAGAGAGTCGGTCTGGCGCGCGTGTCGGGTGCGGTCGTGCGTCGTGTGCGCCGTGTGCGGTGGTCGTCGCGTCGCGGTCAGCACAGACTAGTGTTCGTGTATGAGCCCAGATTGCCTCAGCAATAAACTTGTCTCCACGAGCCAGCCTGTGTGAGGCAGTGCGGAGTGGAGACGTAATAAGCCCATCATCTCAAATAGCCCCAGCCCATAGGGTGGGGCTATTTGAGACAGTTTTAGTTGCAAAGAAATTGAAGAAAATTGGTAACGCTAGAGATAATGTTTTAAACGCCATGCATTTGGAAATTGAATTTTGATCATTTTGGCAAAAATTGCTTTTTTCAAAGACTGTTATATGTCCTTTATATTCAATCTTTTCCTATTTCGTAGGACACTTTAGTTCGGTAGGGTATATGTAAAATTGCATCACTATATGCTAAGGCTATCATAAAATGGTGTGACCCATAGCTTTCAAACTGACAGGATCAGGGGTGTCGTTTTCCGAAAATGATTGGTAGGGCCCAAAAACGGCGGACGGCCATTTATGACGTGCTAACGAAGGTAGAATACCCGCCCAAATTTGCCTTTCTCATCGTATTTCGGCCACTTTTTTTCCGCTTTAGTAATTGAAATTGCAATCAAAAAATCAAACATAAAAAACTTTCTTTGGAAATCTAGGTACCTTCCACCAAACCCAATGCACAAAACGTGCATTTATGGAGGCATTGGTGTCAGAGGACACGCTCGTTTTTTTCCGTGAAGCTTTAGTTCGATCAAGAAACGAACGGTTCATAACTGCCCTTTTCATCGAGTGATATATGACAAAATATTGGTAGGGCTCACGGAACATTAGTTGGGCCCATATAAACATTGGTAGGGCTCGGGCCCTACCAGGCCTATACAAAACGACGCCCTTCGAGGTGGGGGGGGCAACCATGTGTTTTGGCCCACCCACTTTTTACTCGAGGCCCCTCGTCTCGATTTGAGAGGACGTCGTCACCTTCCAGAATAAACAAACTCGGTAAAAATAAGTTCCACGAATCCCACGCACGGGCTCCAAAGGGCCGTGATGGATCCAAGGAGGCCCTCTGTTCATACTTGTCAGTCGAAGCCCTTGAGACTGATGGCCTGAGAGGCCCTAGTGGATCTGAGGAGGCCCCAATATCCACACTAGTCAGAGGTCTGATACTGGTGGTCTGGGAGGCCCCTCCATCCACACTAGTCAGAATAGGCCCCTGACACTGGCGGTCTAGCCGAGGCCCAGTGGCGTATCCAGGGGGGAGGCCAAGAGGCCATGGCCTCCCCCTTTGGCATCAAACATGCAAGTGGGCCCTTTGGGTCACTTGAGTGCAGTGACGTACCCAATGGGGGCCATGGGGGCCCTGAGGGGCGCCCTGGTTACCTGAGGGTCCCCCTGGTCACCTGAGGGGTCCCTGATTAGCTGAGGGGCCCCTGGTTACCTGAGTGGCCCCTGGTTATCTGAGGGGCCCATGGTTATCTGAGGGGCCCCTGGTTATCTGAGGGGACCCTGGCTACCTGATTGGTCCCTGGTTATCTGAAGGACTCCGGGTTACCTGAGGGGCCCCTGGCTACGGGGGCCCTGGTAACCTGAGTGGCCCTTGTTATCTGAGGGCCCCATGGTTACCTGAGGGCCCCTGGTTTCCTGAGTGCTTACCTGGGGGCCCCTGATTACCTAAGGGACTCGTGATTGCCTGAGAGCCCCTGATTTTCTGAGAGGCCCCTGGTTACCAGTGGGGCCTCTTGTTATATGAGGGACCCCTGGTTATCTGAGGGGTCCCTGGTTACCTGAGGGGCCCCTAGTTATCTAAAGGGCCCCTAGCTACCTGAGGGGCCCCTGATCCCCTGGGTGACCCCTGGCCAGTGGTCTGAAGAAACCTTGGTCACCTGAAGGGCCCATGTTTACCCCGGGAGTACCTGGTTATATGAAGGGCCCCTGCAGTCACATCAAGGCCCTTAGTTACCCGTGAAGCCCCTGGTATAACCGTCCCCTGGTTATCAGAGCCCTTACGATGGCGTTTAGTGTTTACTGCTGGCTCGAAGGGACTACTGATTCGTTCAGGCAATTCACGTGCCCATTTATGCCACTTATAGTGCAGGGGGACATCTTACCCAACGCCAGGGGGCGTCTTTCCCACCATTTGGGATAAGATGCCCCCTTTCAGCTCTTCGAGAAATTGCTTAATAGCAAAAAATTATCATATTTCAAGCACGAAAGAGTGATATTTTATGGAGAAAATGATGTCGGCTTCCGTTGAAACTACAACTATTTGCTTTCCGATGGTCATTTTCGAATAATATATGACATAACAAACCCCTGGGCATCTTTCCCCACTCTCCCCTACTTACCATAAAATCATTATTTTGTTTTATATTACCGCTGTAACATTGACCGAGGCCAAAAGGCATGCCATTAGGATTCGGTATCGGCTCATCAGAGGCCGGGTACGCTCACAAGGGGTCTGGGTAGGCCTATCATAGGGGCATTATGGGCCAATGTAGATCAAATAGGGGCTGTTGAAGGGCTACCAGATTTCGACGTGGGCTCCCAATTACCTCTGGTGGCCATATGCTGTGCCCTGATGGACTAACGATGGCCCCCGATAAGCCAACACCAGCCGCTAATTGGTCTACAAAGCCTTCTCATGGGTTTAAAGAGGTCATTGAAATGCCGAACTTGGCTACCGAGAAGCCCACGGCATCCGCCGAGTGCACCTGTTGGAAACAATGTCGTCCTCTCGAAGGCCTGCCATGCCCATGACCCCTGAATAACCTCTTTTCAGTCCCCTGATGGACCTTGATGTTCCTAAATGGACCCCTGATCGACTTAAGAAAGACCGAAAACGAATATCTACCAAATTTCATCGAAAAATAATAACCGGTTTTCAAGATATTACACTTTTACTTTTATTACTTTTTGGGATCTCCGCTGTTCCTATCGACTTTACTTGAAAGTGCAGCACTTGTTGCGCGCAAAGCAGCATATACCACCGCATGCTACCAAACGTTTTAGTAAAAGATTTAAAATCGTTTGATCTGCGCTGACGTCACACATTCAGAGGGGGCATCCTAATGCATCAGCCCCTCTGAATCCAAGTGCTGCAACTTTGAAATTAGATATTTTCGATTTGAGGCATTTCTCGATCTTGTGAGTGCTCAAACCGGTCAGTGCAAGCAAGGGACCCCATTTTGGCTATCTCAACTCAAAACTAATGTTAAGGTGGGATGGTCACTTTAAATGTAAAAGACTGCAAACGAGCGGCTAATGCGATCCGACTACTGTTCTCCTCCAAAGGTGGAGCCGGTGCTCGGTGCTCGGTGCTCGGTGCTCGGTGCTCGGTGTCGTTGCCAGCCTCTGTGCCGTCAGTCGCCGGGAGCCGGCGCGCCACGTTGCGTGCCGGTGTGCCACTGGACTCGGCGTGCGGCCATTGCAGCACAAACTGGCGCGCTGCTCGGCCTCTGACAATTGGCAATTAACTCGACTCTGAAACGGCAAATGACAGAAATTTCGTGATTTACAATAGCCCGTAGGGTATCCGTTTGTCAAATAAATTACGGTGTAAGCTAGGATCCAGTGGGAGATGTAGGAAGACATCGCCTGACCGCTCTAATCATTCATGACATTTTTTCCAATGCACTTATTGTTTTCAGCGGTCGATGAGGGGAGGGGAGGGGGATAGAGGAGGGTGCTGTCGCCTGTCAATAGCGTTTTGAGCCATGGAAGCGACCGCCTGGAGAGACCCAGGAGAGAGCGCCGGTCCAATCCGGCGCGGAGGTAGGGGTGAGATTGTAATATTTTTGGGAGGGGGTGGGGTTTAAAAACGACAAAATGTTCATCTCGCACGGCGTGGAAAGGGCTAATGCTTCATTCATATACCAAAGAACATGGGGGCAGCAGCGACACTCCCCCCTTAGCTTCAGAGCCGAGGGGGCGGCGTCCCCTCAACATTGTATAGCGAGGAAGGAATAAGGATCTTCCCTTCTTTCCGGACTTAGCCTAGGTCTGTTTTATACTACTAGGGTTGACTATTAAATAATGGAAGTGCGCGTAGCAATGACAGATCAGGGGCGTAGCCAGAGCCTTTCGATGGGAGGGGCACAGTGGGTCCGATGGCCCCCCTCGCAGATGGCCCCCTTGCAAACGGGCCCCTTCGCAGGTAAGCTTCTCTTTAACCCGCGCCCTGCTGGGGGGGTGTTTGAACACTCCCCCCCCCTTGTGGTTTTTCGTGAATATCTCAAAAACGGCGGCGCGGAGCGCCGCCGTTTTGGTACACCTTATCATACATCAATTCTACACATGTTGTGAAAATTTCAGACCAAGGTCATTCAAGGTCAGGTCACCAGGTCACTTGAAGTGACCTCACCTCATAAAAAGTTTCAATGTCTGTCATAGCTACACCGAGTGACCGATCGCTTTGAAACTTTCAGCGAGTGCTAAGAGCAAGAGCATGTACAAAATGTATATCTCAGAATTTGATATCGATGACCTAAGGTCAGGTCAATTTTGCGACCTCCCCATTATAAGTCAATGGGAGAAAATTGAAATGCGCTTCTTTTGGACGAAAGACATTATAACACTCCCAAACACCTAATTACAAGTGGTTTAGACACACTGAACATGAAAATGGTGTCCGTGACCCTGTTTATGCCCTGAGGTCATCTTAGGTCACGAATGGTATCTAACAGTTTTCGCAAATCACTTTGATAGAGGCATGCTAGAGCGATGAA